GATCTCGGCTCACTGCAACCTCCGCCTCCCGGGTTCAAGTTCCTGCCTCAGTCTCTCAAGTAGGTGGGATTACAGGCATGCACCACCACGCCCGGCTAGTTTTGTATTTTAAGTAGAGATGGGGTTTCTCCATGTTGGGCAGGCTGGTCTCGAACTCCTGACCTCAGGTGATCCGCCCACCTCGGCCTCCCAAAAGTTCTGGGATTACAGGCGTGAACCACTGTGCTCAGCCGGCAAAAGGTATTATCTTTTTGCCCCAATAATTGCAATGCATTGAAACCCATCAAATACGTTTAAGTCCATGAGTTCATAATGGTATTTCTAAAAAAATTAATTAGTTGCCTTTGGAGGTCACCTTTTGGAGCCAATTCATCTTTAAAATTGATAAATCAAGCATTTACCCAGTTTCTCTATGTGAACTATACCATTAGGTAACCAAATAAGGGGAAATGTCCATTTATAAAAGTATTCAAGTAATAAATTAAAAAGAGATGATAAACCTCCATAGTAATGAAATATGATATTAGGGTAAACAGAAACTGGGTGAGGACTATGTGGAAACTATACTATCTTTGCAACTTTTCTGTAAATCTAAAATTATCCCAAAATAAAGTTTACTTAAAAAAAAAAAAAAAGGCTAGGATGGCTATTAAACAAAAGAACATAATAGTAAGTGCTAGCAAAGACATGGAGACACTGAAACCCTCACACTCAGCTAGTGGGAATGTAAAATGGTACAAACACTATGGAAAACAATCTGGCAGTTCTTCAAAGACTAAACATAGTTACCATATGACCCACAATTCTAACTCCTAAGTATATACCCAAAAGAAATGAAAACATGACCCAGCCATCCCATTACTGGGTATATACCCAAAGGATTATAAATCATGCTGCTATAAAGACACACGCGACACGTATGTTTATTGCGGGCACTATTCACAATAGCAAAGACCTTGGAAGTCGACCCGCAAAGTCCATCAGTGACAGGACTGGATTAAAAAAATGTGGCACGATGTTACGCCATGAGGATTACTATGGCAGCCATAAACAAAGGATGAGTTCTTGTTGTCGCTTTGTGAGGGACCATGGATGCAGCGTGGGACAACCATCATTCTCGCGCAGCAATTAGCGCAAGAACAAGAAAAACCAAACACTTGGCATGTTCTCAGCTCAATAGGTGGGAGATGTGAAGCAATGAGATGCACTTGGATCTGGAAGGGAGGACATCACCAGCACCGCAGGGCTATTATGGGATGGGAGGAGGGATAGCATTGGGAGTTATACCCTGGATGTAAATGACGCGAGTTGAGGGGTGTTGACGGAGGGTTGATGGGGTGCAGCACACCCAACATGGCACGGAAGTATACAGGTATAGTAACCAAACCTGCACATTGTTGCACATGTACCCTGACTTAAGAGTGGTATAATAAGAAAAAAAAAAAAAGAAAGACATGATGTCGCATACAAAAACAAAGTAGCGACAGAAAGCGCTCAGTGAGCACGCATTACCCCAGTAATAGCGAAAAAAGTAAAAACAGAAGCCCAGATGTCCAGTCAGAGCTGATGAATGGGGTACAAAAAAAGAAGAAAAAAAAAAAAAAATAAAGCTGCTGAACGCATTCAGTGGAGAGAGTGTATTCAGCCATGAAAAAGAAATCAAGAGTGGGCTGGCGTGGTGGCTCGACGCCTGTGATCCCAGCGACTTTGGAGGGCCGAGGCGGGGCAGGTCACAAGGGTCAGAGTGAAGGACCATCCGGCGTAACACTGGTGAAAGCCGCCGTCTCACATAAAAATACGGAGAAAAGTGGCCAGGCCGGTGGGGTGGGCGGTCGCGGTAGTCCCAGCTACTTTGGGAGGCTGGAGGGGCAGGAGAATGGTGTGACCCGGGAGGGTGAGGTGCAGTGAGGCCGGAGATCGGCCGGCCACTGCGCACTCCAGCGCTGGGCGATCGAGCGAGGACTTCCTTCTCAAAAAAAGAAAGAAAAAAAAAATGAAACAGAGTGCGGCTGGGGCACAGTGCGTCAGCCGTTGAAATCCCGAGCACTCTTTGGGGAGACCGAGGTGAGCAAGATCACTGAGGGGGTCAGGAGTTCGAGGACCAGATGCAAGAAGCGTGCCATCGTCTGTTTTAAATAAAAAAAAAAAGAAATGAAGTACTAATACATGCTATGTTAAGTGAAAAAAGCTAGTCCCAAAGGACCATATATTACATAATTCTACTTATATGAAATGTCCAGAATAGGCAAATCCATAGAGAATGAAAGCAGATAGGAGTTTATCTAGGCCTGGAAGGGTTGGGAGGAAATGGAGAGTTAAAATGGACACAGGGTTTCGTTTTGGGGTGATAAATATGTTCCAAAATTACTATGGTTATGGTTGTACAACTCTGTGAATATACTGTAAACCACTTAATTGTACATTTTAAATGGGTAACTTGTATGATATATGAATCATATCTCAAAAAAGCCTAGATTAAACTAAATGGATGCACATTTGGGTGATAAAACTATCTTTAAAATGCAAGGAAATGGCCAGGCCTGGTGGCTCACACCTGTAATCCCAGCACTTTGGGAGGCTGAGGGAGGAGGACCACTTGAGTGCAGGAGTTCGAGACAAGCCTGAGCAACACAGCGAGACCTGTCTCTATTATTTTTAAAAATGCAAGGAAATGATTGCAATAAAAATCAGTATCATGGTTGCTTTGTGGGGAAAGGAGCATGTTACAACTGCAGTAGGGCACACAAAGGGTTTTCTGGGGTGGCGGGCAAAATCCTATTTTTTGATCAGGTGGTGGAGCTATCCATTTGTTATGTGAGATAGTCTGTGTCTGTGTTTTCTTTTACAATAAAAAAAGTTATCAAAACAGACTCACAAGCAAATTTGTTTCAAACATAATGTGAATTCTCCTAGAATCCAATCTTACTATGGGCCAGGCACCAAGTTTGGTTATGTATAATATAAGAGATTATGCCTATCCTCAAGGACCTTAACTTTTAGTGAGAGGTTAAAAAAAAAAAAAAAAAAAAAAGAGCTAGAGAAAGAACTAGCCCATGTTAAATATTAACTGACACAAAATTTACAGACAATGTACTAAAAGATGTAGAATAGGATTGGGGGGCTAGGGAGTATATCAGAAAAGGAATTTAAACAAAAACAAAAAAAGAGGGTAAAAATGAGACAGAGAGATCTTTTTTTTTTTTTTTTTTTTTGAGACGGAGTCTCGCTCTGTCGCCCAGGCTGGAGTGCTGTGGCCGGATGTCAGCTCACTGCAAGCTCCGCCTCCTGGGTTCACGCCATTCTCCTGCCTCAGCCTCCCAAGTAGCTGGGACTACAGGCGCCCGCCACCTCGCCCGGCTACTTTTTTGTATTTTTTTTAGTAGAGACGGGGTTTCACCATGTTAGCCAGGATGGTCTCGATCTCCTGACCTCGTGATCCGCCCGTCTCGGCCTCCCAAAGTGCTGGGATTACAGGCTTGAGCCACCGCGCCCGGCGAGATAGAGAGATCTTATGCAGGCTACATTATGCCCAGAGGCAAAAAAGAAATGAAGAAAAAATATTTTAGGACTTTGAGTAAGAGTAGATAATATTTATTGAGCATGTATCAAATCATTTAATCCTCACCACAAACCTACGAAGTGAGTCCTATTATTATATCCATTTTATAGATGAAGTAACTGAGGTACAGAGACAGTCTGTACAGGGCATCAATGGTAGGTACAGCTGAAAAGGTACCCAGGGGAATGGACTGTGAATCCAGACCACCTGGGTTAGAATCCTGGTTCAGTTCTGCTATTAAGCAGCGATGTGATTTCAGGCAAATTACTTTACCTCTGTGCCTTAGTGTTCTACTATTTAAAATGAGAATGCTAATAGTAGCAACTTCATCACAGGGTTGTTGTAAAGATTAAATTATTTGATGTATATAAAGCATTTAGAACAGTTTCTGGCAAAAAGTAAGTACTCATTAATATTACATATTATTATAATAACAGAATAATAATTTCTAGGAAAAGCACATGAGAATTATCCTCCTCCATGTATTCCATTAAATCAGGTATTAAATTACATACTTCTATCTCTTTATGCTCAAGATTGATTATTTATATTTTAGGCTGCTGTTTTATGTTAGACCGAGATCATGCTACTTTTGAGGCAATTCTCCTGTTTCAGCCTCCCAAGTAGCTGGGACTACAGGCACACGCCACCACACCTGGTTAATTTTTGCACCTAAAACAGTAGAATTTAAAATTATTTGCCAGTCTTCACAAAGAGGGTACCATTTTTCCAGAAAACGGGAAACTCGGCAGTTCCTACTGCAACACTGGCAGAGTAAGATAAATGATTTCAAATATTTGCAGAATGTCGAGGCTAAAGATAAACAGAAGAGGGAACTCTGCTGAGGGCATGGCACAGCTTAAAGCAAATATAGATACACTCTGAGGGATGTCTGCATAGGTCTTCTGGGGCTGTGTTCATTCAACCCGTGAGAGCTGAGAGAGTGCAGCAGTAGCAGTAGCCAGCAATGCAGGTACCTAAAGAATCTGTTATGTTATCTTTAAAGGTGTCCCTCTTCTTAGCCCCAACCTAGATGCAGAGGGCAGAGTGTGTATTAGGGTGACAGATATACAAGAATATACCAAGGGATAAAAGAGATACCTAGGAGGCTGGGCACGGTGACTCACGCCTGTAATCCTAGCACTTTGGGAGGCCGGGGCGGGTAGATCACCTGAGGTCAGGAGTTCGAAATCAGCCTGACCAATATTGTGAAACCCCGTCTCTACTAAAAATACAAAAGGAGTGATGGTGTGCGCCTGTAGTCCCAGCTACTCGGGAGGCTGAAATAGGAGAATTGCTTGAACCTGGGAGGCGGAGGTTGCAGTCAGCTGAGATTGTACCACTGCGCTCCAGCCTGGGCGACAGAGCAACACTCTGTCTCAAAAAACAAAAAAAAGAAAGATACCTAAGAAAGGCTGACAGGACCCCAAAATATACATACTTTCCATAAGAAGTATCTTTTAATACTAATTCTGGAGCTCTATACCAGCGTGTGGCCACATAGTCCGTATAAATGTCCCCAGGAGCTGCTAGTGTTCGTGCAAAACCAAAATCACAGAGCTTAGTAATTCCTGACTGGGATACTAAAATATTCTCAGGTTTTATATCGCGATGAATGATCTAAAAACAAACAGAATACAAAATACATTAAAATGAGATTTCATTATCCAGAACCTCTCAAAAATAATACTAAGAAAATCTAGCTAATTAAGATAGTAAAGCTATTTCCTTACCACATGCAAAGGATTAATTACACAATGCAAATATAGTTATATGTTTTCAATTCTTGCTCCATCCACCACCTCAAAATAAAATGAAGCTAAAAAAACAGACATAATACTAAAAAGGCAAATCACATTTGTGTAAGAAAAACCAAAAGAACTTAATGAGGCTGGGAGTGGTGGTTCATGCCTGTAAACCTAGTACCTTGGGAGGCCAAGGCAGGAGGATCACTTGAGGTCAGGAGTTTGAGACCAGCCTGTGTAACAGAGTGAGACCCTGTCCCAAAAAAAAAAAAAGAAAAGAAAGAAAGGAAAAGAACTTATTGAAATTTTACTTTCCTTTAACTCTGTGTCCTACTCCAGTTCCGGCCCTTTCATGTCCTTCACAGCTAAACCTCTTGAAGACATTATCTGTACTCACAGTCTTCACTTTCTGACCCAGTCACTCAAGATAATTAACCTTCTCTTTTGCTCCTACATTGCATTAAACTTCTCTAGCCATAGGAAAAAAGTCATCTACATTTTTCCTACATCCAATAGCCATCTCTCCGCCCATATTTACTTGGTTTCTTAGCGTAAAAACAATGGCAACTGTTCCTCCATTCCTGGTTTCTCGGACCTAAAATGTTCCCAATCTCCTCCTATCTACCTGGCAGCTACTCTTTCTCTGTCTGTTTCTAAAACATAGGGTCCTTGTCTTAGGCTTTCCTCTCCTCATATATTGATATATCTCACGTACTCTCTTTTTTGGGGGGTGTGGGAGCCACTTTTGTCACTTGGTTATAGGGACAACACTCTTGGGCTTCTCCCCACCTACTGGCTGCTCCATCTCAATCTGATCAATTCTTTTTAAGAAATTATTTTTTAAAGAGGGTCTTGCTCCATTGCCCAGACTAGAGTGCAAAGGCACAATTGAAGCTCACTGCAGCCTCAAACTCCTGGGCTCAAGCAAGGAGCCTACCACCTGAGACAATCCTACCACCTCAACCTCCTGAGTAGCTAGGACTACAAGCGCGTGCCTGTAGTCCTACAGCCTACAGTATTAGGACTACTGGCTAATTAAACATTTTTTTCGTAGAGACAGGGTCTGGTTATGTTGCCCAGGCAGATCATGAGTGCTGGGCTGAAGCGATCTTCCCGCCTCAGCCTTCCAAAGCACTAGGATTGTAGGTGTGAGCCACCACACCCGGCCTGAATTACTTTTTAACATTTTGTTAATTTTAATTGATAAATTAAAATTGTATATATTATGTACATGTTGTTTTGAAATATGTATACATTGTAAAATTTGCTAAATCAAGCTAATTAACATTACCTCACATACTTTTTTTTTGGGGTGAGAACACTTAAATTCTACTCTCAGCAATTTTCAAGAATACAATCATTGTTATTAACTAGCTACCATTTTGTATAACAGATCTCTTGAACTTACTCCTTCTTTCTGACTGAATTTTCGTATCTCTTGACCAATATCTCCCCAACCACTTCCACTCTAGCCCGTGGTAACTACCATTCTACGCTCTACTTCTATGAGTTGTACTTTTATAGATTCTGTATGTAATTGAGATCACGCGGTATTTGTCCTGTGCGTGACTTATTTCACTTACCATAACGTCCTCCAGGTTCATCCACATCATCACAAATGACAGGATTTCCTTCTATTTTTACGGCTGAATAGTGCTCCATCGTGTATACATACCGCATTTTCTTTATGCATTCATCCTTAATGGACACTTAGGTTGATTTTTTTTTCCTTTCTTTTTTTTTTTAGACGGAGTCTTGCTCTGTCACCCAGGCTAGAGTGCACTGGCATGATCTTGGCTCACTGCAACCTCTGCCTCCTGGGTTCAAGCAATTCTCCTGCCTCAGCCTCCTATGTAGCTGGGATTACAGGGACATGCCACCACGCCTGGCTACTTTTTGTATTTTTAGTGGAGATGGGGTTTCACCAGGTTATCCAGGCTGGTCTCAAACTCCTCATCTCAAGTGATTTGCCTGCCTCAGCCTCCCAAAATGCTGGGATTACAGCTGTGAGCCACTGCACCCAGCCTCCTTTGCCCATTTTTTATTTTTATTTTTTAAAGACACAGGGTTTCACCATGTTGCCTGGGCTGGTCTTGAACTCCTGGACTCAAACTATCCTCCCACCTTGGCCTCTCAAAGTGCTGGGATTATAGGCATGTGCCACTGCACCTGGTCCTTTGCCCAATTTTTAATCAGGTTATTTGTTTTCTTACTATTGATTTATCTGAGTTTCTTATATATTCCAGATATTAACCTCTTATTAGATGTATGGTTTGCAAGTATTTTCTCTAATTCTGTGGGTTCTCTCTTCTCTCTATTGATTGTTTCCTTGGATATGCATACTTTTTTGTTTGATGTAATCCCATTTGTCCATGTTTGCTTCTGTTGTCTGTGCTTTTGGGTTCTTTTTTTTCTTTTTTTTTTTTTTTTTTTTTTTGAGACGGAGTCTTGCTCAGTCGCCCAGGCTGGAGTGCAGTGGCCGGATCTCGGCTCACTGCAAGCTCCGCCTCCCGGGTTTACACCATTCTCCTGCCTCAGCCTCCCCAGTAGCTGGGACTACAGGCGCCCGCCACCACGCCCGGCTAGTTTTTTGTATTTTTTTTAGTAGAGACGGGGTTTCACAGTGTTAGCCAGGATGGTCTCGATCTCTTGACCTCGTGATCTGCCCGTCTCGGCCTCCCAAAGTGCTGGGATTACAGGCTTGAGCCACCGCGCCCGGCCTGCTTTTGGGTTCATATCCACAAAATCATTACCCAGATCCAATGTCATAGAACTTTTCCCAAGTTTTCTTCTAGTAGTTTTACAGTTTCAGATCTTACATTTAAATCTTTAATCTATTTTTAGTTTACATTTGTATAAGATTCATCTACTCTTATAGCTTTAGTAACTGTCCATATACTACTGATAATTTCAACATTTCTATGTCTAACAGATATTTCTCCTGGTTTCCACAAGAAGTGAAAGTCCACAATAAATCCCACAAACTAGGTACAGGTCCTTTAAATTCAGCAAATCTAAAACTAAACACATCTTCTCCCCCAAACCTACTGGTTCTCAACAATCTGCTATTACAGTGAATGGAACCACCACTTACTCCATAAATCAAGCCAGAAACCAAGGGCATTTTTCTCCCTCCCCACACTCCCTTAACCTATCTACTGCTCTTCCTAGTTCAGGTCTCCTCAGCTGTCTCACAAAATTAATACACAAGTCTATCAGTTGGTCTCCCTGAATTCACATTCGTGCTCTTCAATTCAGTCTCCACAATGAAGTCACAGAACTATTTTAAAATCAGATGTGTGATCATGTCACTTTTTTTTTTGAGACGGAGTCTCACTTTGTCACCAGGCTGGAGTGCAGTGGCACAATCTTGCCTCGCTGTAACCTCCGGCTCCCGGGTTCAAGCTATTCTCCTGCCTCAGTCTCCTGAGTAGCTAGGACTACAGGACTACAGGCACACACCACAATGCCCAGTTAATTTTTGTATTTTTAGTAAAGATGGGGTTTCACCATGTTGGCCAGAACGGTCTCGATCTCCTGACCTAGTGATCCGCCCGCCTCGGCCTCCCAAAGTGCTGGGATTACAGGCATGAGCCACCGTGCTAGGCCTGATCATGTCACTTCTCTGCTTCAAGGATTCCTCATCCTGCAGGATAAATTTAAAACTCCCTAAAATGGCTTATAAGGCCTTGTGAGATTTGGCCCCTACTTATCCTCTTAACCTCCTTTCCCTAGCCTATAGAGTATTAGTTTCCCAATTTGCCAGGGTTTGTCTAATCTCTGTGATTTGTTGATGCTACTCCAACTGCTTGGCCAAGTCAGCTATTTCCTCAGGACTCAGCTTGTATGGTAGTATTAGATGCTCCTTCTATATGTTCACATCAATCTGCACTTTCCCCTTCATAGCATCTGTCATGCCTGTTTACTTGTCTGAAACCCCCACTAAACCATAAGCTCCATGAGGGCAAGATGCACATCTGTCTTGTTCAATTAATATCCAGTGTTCAGTACAGTGTCTAGAACAAAGAAGGCATTTACAAATTTTATCAAAAGAATTACAGAAGCACATACTCATCACCTGTAAAGTATCATAGCAGAAGTAGAAATGTCTCAGTGACAGAAATCTGGGATCTTTCCTTGTTTATACAACTTACTACCATAAATCTTTGAGACTGGCTCTTGTTCTGACTCAATCTCCCTCCATAAATAGCCAAAAAATTAATTTAGGGTAAGCCTTTCTAATTGAGCCACTTCAAGGTTGTCATCTGCCAAAATATATAAATCCTTTTTTACTACCACAATTTTCATTGAGTGCCTACTATATGCCAGGCACTATTCCAAGACCTAAGGATATAATGTGAACAAAAACAGACATTAAAAAGCACATTAAGATACCGCTTCAGGGGCCGGGCATGGTGGCTCACGCCTGTAATCCCAGCACTTTGGGAGGCCGATGCAGGTGGATCATGAGGTCAGGAGATCAAGACCATCCTGGCCAACATGGTGAAACCCCGTGTCTACAAAAAGTACAAAAATTAGCCGGGCATGGTGGCATGTGCCTGTAATCATAGTAACTTGGGAGGCTGAGCGGTGAGCTGAAATTGCGCCATTGCACTCTAGCCTGGACAACAAGAGTGAAACTACATCTCAAAAAAAAAAAAAAAAAAATCATCATCTGACAGGTCGGGTGCAGTGGCTCATGCCTGTAATCCCAGCACTTTGGGAGGCCGAGGTAGGCAGATCACCTGAGGTCAGGAGTTTGAGACCAACCTGACCAACATGGAGAAATCCCATCTCTACTAAAACTATGAAATCAGCTGGGCCGTGGTGGCACATGCCTGTAATCTCAGTTACTCAGAAGCTGAGGCAGGAGAATTGCTTGAACCCAGGAGGTGGAGGTTGCGGTGAGCTGAAATTGCGCCATTGCACTCTAGCCTGGACAACAAGAGTGAAACTACATCTCAAAAAAAAAAAAAAAAAAAATCATCATCTGAAATTTGGAAATATTAAGAAAAGAAAGTTTTAGCAGGGCTTGGGGGCATGCCCCGGTAGTCCCAGCTACTCGGGAGCCTTAGTTGGGAGGATTACTTGAACCCAAGAGCTCAAGGCTACAGTGAGCTATGATTGTACCACTGTACTCCAGCCTGGGCAACAGACTGAAACCTCATCTCTTAAAAAATATCTATATACACCAGGCATGGTGGCTCATGCCTGTAATCCCAGCACTTTGGGAGGCCGAGGTGGGAGGATCACTTGAGGTCAGGAGTTCAAGACCACCTGGCCAAAATGGTGAAACCCCATCTCTACTAAAAATACAAAAATTAGCCGGATGTGGTGGCGCACGCCTGTAGTCCCAGTTACTCGGCATGCTGAGGTAGGAGAATCGCTTGAACCCGGGAGGCAAAGGATGCAGTGAGCCAAGATCACGCCACTGCACTCCAGTCTGGGTGACAAAGTGAGATTCCATCTCAAAAATAAATAAATAAATAAATAAAAATAAATAATATCTAGTCTAAAGAGCCACTTCACTCATGGCTGCCTTAATTCTCAAAGGTAATTAGCCTTACAACATTCTGTGAGGTAAGGGACAGGGATAATTTTACTCCAGGTTCCAGATAAGAACAAGAGAATAAAAGAATGTGGGTACTTCTGTCTAGGCCTCCTTCTCTGCTGTTCTCCAACACTCCACAGATCTCTTCCATGCTTGGTGATGAGAACTACCTCTTATTTTTTCCTTCCATTTCTGGGAGAATGATCTATTCTTACCTCTTCAACCACAGTCTCTAAGAGGAAGATTCTCAAATCTGTATGTTCAGTTCTGAAAACTTCCAAAGTCATGATATAATTGGTTAGCCACTATTTTTACTTAGAAATTCTCACTATCCCTTAAAATCCATCAATATATCTTAATGCAATTCCCACTTCTAAATTCAGTTGACAATGGCACTTCTGCTCTCCAATTAAAAATACAGTAATACTACTAAAAATACAAAAATTGTCCAGGCGTGGTGGCTCATGCCTGTAATCCCAGCACTTTGGGAGGCTAAGGCAGGCGGATCATGAGGTCAGGAGTTTTGAGATCAGCCTGACCAACATGGTGAAACTCCGTCTCTACTAAAAATACAAAAATTAGCTGGGCATGGTGGCACGCACCTGTAATCCCAGTTACTCGGGAGGCTGAGGCAGGAGAATCGCTTGAATCCAAGAGGCGGAGGTTGCAGTGAGATCACGCCATTGCACTCCAGCCTGGGCGACAGAGCAAGACTCCGTCTCAAACTGAACTGAACTAAACTAAACTAAACTAAAAATACAAAAATTAGCTGGGCCTGGTGGCAGGAACCTGTAATCCCAGCTACTCGGGAGGCTGAAGCTGGAAGAAATGCTTGAACCCAGAAGGCAGAAGTTGCAGTGAGCCGAGATCCTGCCATTGTACTCCAGCCTGGGCAACAGAGACAGACTCCGTCTCGAAAAAAATACTGTAATAACCTCTGATTTCACCCTTTGTTTTCATCTCTCTCATACCTAATTAGTTCCCAAGTCCTGTGATTTTCCTTTTGAAGTATTTCCATCCTATCCCTCTGCCATCCTTCCTCTCCTTCCCATTGCTACTTAGTCCAAACCGTTACCACCCACACATCTAGACTGTCACAACAGTTTCCCGCCTGATCTCTCTGGGTCTCTATCTACTCATATCTTCTACTCTTGTTAAAATAAACTTAGATTTTGTTTTCATCTAGTCACAGCAATGCTCAAGAACCTTCAATGGGCTGGGTGGGGTGGCATGTGCCTGTAATCATAGTAACTTGGGAGGCTGAGGCAGGAGGATCGCTTGAGCCCAGAAGTTGGAGGCTGCAGTGAGCTATGATCATGCTATTGCACTCCCATCTGGGCAACAAAGCTAGATCCTATCTCAAGAAAAACAAACAAAAAACAACAAAATCAGCAATAGCTGCCCAGGATCCTCAGGAAAGAGTCCACCCTCCTGTGGATAAATTTCAAGGTTCTAGAAAATCTGCCCCCTGGGAACCTGTGTAATCTTATCTTCCTCTACCTGTTGTTCCCTGTAACCTGACTTAACAGCACTCTCTACAGTCCCCCACTCTGGTCTACTTCTATTTTCACAATGGTACCCCACCTGAATGCATTTTCTTCTCTATTCCAACAAAATCCTAACTACAGTTCAAAATTCTACTTATTTCAGTTTTACCTCATCTTGGAAGTTTTCTACTGTCAGTTTAGCCCAGACTGATATCTCCTTTTATTCAAGAAACCTTTTTAGAGTCTAATATAGACAAGGCTCTAAAAAGATACAAAGATAACACAACTATTCTTGACTCCCTACCAGCTTTCTTTTCTTTTCCTTTTCTTTCCTTAACACAACTATTAATTCTCCTGACTCCAAACCAGCTTGCTATATTTATTTATTTAACTTACTTACTTACAGGATCTTGCTCTGTCAACCAGGATGGAGTGGTATGATCATAGCTCACTGCTATGGAGCCTTGACCTCCCAGGCTCAAACAATCCTTCCACCTCAGCCTCACAAGTAGCTGGGAGTACAGTATTGTGCCACGATGCCTGATGCCCAGCTAATTTATTTTTTATTTTTAGTAGAGACGATGTCTTGCTATGTTGCCCAGGCTGGGCTTGAACTTTTGAGCTCAAGTGATCCCCCTGCCTCAGCCTCTCAAAATACTGAGATTAGAGGTGTGAGCTACTATGGCCAGCCTACCAGCACTATCTATTGAGCATTTAAAATGGGCCTGACACAGTTTAAATGCTTTATACCTAGTACCTAATTTGATCTTTTAAAAAATCTGTGCCAGGTGCAGTAGCTCACACCTGTAGTCCAGCATTTCGGGAGGCTGAGGCGGGCAGATCACTTGAGCCCAGGAGTTTGAGACCAGCCTGGGTAACATGGTGAAATTCCATCTCTACAAAAAATTAGCCAGGTGTGGTGGTTGATAGAGGAGGAGCACCATCATTTCGGACAAACACCAAGATGTTTTAAGGAGAGACGGGAGAATTGCTTGAACCCGGGAGGCAGAGGTTGCGGTGAGCCGAAATCGCACCACTGTACTCCAGCCTAGGCAATAAAAACAAAACATCTCAAAAACAAAACAAACAAACAAACAAAAAACCTGCTGAGCTAAAAGCTTACAAGCCAATGCTAAAGTCAACACTAAAAATCAGAATAGCTGTGATCTTTCCTCTTCCTTGATTTTTCATAGGTTAAATGACAAGGCCTCACACAGCTCAGCCACTTTATATCTCCTTTCTTCCCCTAAAGGCTTCCACATTTACTTGCTATTCCCCTGGCCTAATTTCCAGTTCCCAACGCTAAACTTGCCTTTTTTTTTTTTTTTTTTTTTGAGGCGGAGTCTCGCTAAACCTCCCTTTATATGAGCAACTCTCCATTAAGCCACAGACCTGACTTCCAACGTTTTAATACTTTCTCTAATAATAGTGCCCCAGCTGACTACTGATTCTACTAAACATAATTATTGATACTGCCTTTACTATCCCATACTTGGTCTACCTTACAGTTGGAATTACTGAGTGCTCAATATTTTTTGGTTCTGCAACCAAAAGGTAGTGCTCCCTATTCCCTATCCCCATTTTCAGGATGTCTATTATTATTGTATAAAAAAATACTGTTAGTCACCTTCATAAAAATAAAACAATGTATAAGGAGCACTTATGATTCATATTCATCCTACAAATTGGCTTATTCTGAAGCACTTACATTATTACTGTGAAGATAGTCAATTGCTCGAAGGATCTGGAAGAGGTATTTTCTAAGTCGTTTACTCTCTAGTCCATGACAATAATGTTGTAACTCATCTAATACTGTGTGGTCAATAAATTCAAATACCAAATGAATTTTCTTTTTCTGTCTAAAAACTTCAATCAGATTGACCAGGTTTTCATGATGAAATTGCTATTGACAAAAGAAACAACACAAATTTTTAATTATTTCAAGCCTAACAATTTGTACATGTAACATGTATAAATTTTGAAAAGAAACAGGAATATTCTTAGCTTTGTTCCATACATTTCTTTTTTTTTTTTTTTTTTTTTTTTTTGAGATGGAGTCTTGCTTTGTCGCCAGGCTGGAGTGCAGTGGCACAATCTTGGCTCAGTGCAACCTCCGCCATCCCATTTCAAGCAATCCTCCTGCCTCAGCCTCCCGAACAGCTGGGATTACAAGCGTGCACCACCATGCCCAGCTCATTTTTGTGCTTTTAGCAGAAACAGGGTTTCACCATGTCGGCCAGGCTGGTCTCGAACTCCTGACCTCAACACAGGAGGTCCTGCCTCAGCCTTCTAAACTCCTGGAATTGTAGGTGTGCGCCATCATGCCCAGCCTATGTTCCATGCATTTCAACTGAAATTTCCCAACCAATGTGCTTCCAATCCTATTTTAAGAAAATTTTAATCCATTTTATAATCAATATTTACAGGACAAAGTGAGATATATTACTTTATCTCAAGTTGGCATTTGGTTGCTTATTAAAATAATTTAATGTACTATAACAGTATTCTCTTGAGAGACATCCTGCTATTTTTAAACTTGGTTTGTGGTTAAATTTAACACCCAAAATTTAAAAGGCCCTTATGTTTTCAAATGAGCATGGATTTCAACACGATTAAGTATGTGACCTGAATTTATATAAATTAATTAATCTCTAATTTTAATCCTAAACTCTAGAAAGTAAACCATAAGTTCTAGGGGGCATCATAAATTCATTAGACTATAACAAAAGAACATCAAAATATATACAAAATCTTCAGATATGTGAACTACCAATTTATAACCATAGAAACTTTACATAAATATATAATTATTTGTGGGTAAACGATTTTTCGTTGTCTTTACTCTTCTATTAAACAACTAACCACCTTTTTAGACTGGTAACAATTATTGCTAAAATAATTTTAAAATGTAAATTATGCCCACATATCAGCTTAGGAAACAAATGAGATTTAATATTGTATGCTACTTATTCTGTTTTTCATCACAGTGACTTAATTATAATCAATTCTGAAATATGTAACCATTTTGTTCAAACTATCAAGAATATGTGTTCATTTAGCTAAGAATGAAGGTTTGTTTTTTGTTTTGTTTTTTTTTTTTAAGAGAAAGAATCTTGCTATATTGCCAGGCTGGTCTTGAACTCCTGGCCTCAAGTGATCTTCCTTCCTCAGCTTCCCAAGTTGCTAGGACTACATGCATGAGCCACTGTTCCTAGCTCTAGAAAACTATACCTTTATGAAAATATATTTGCCTTTATTCCAATAACGCAATGTCAATTTTTCTATTTCTCTGTAACTAATGAAGAGACTAAAGTCGTTAAAACATGACTAGAGAAAAACATCCAAAATATAACGCCAGATTCCTTTCCTTTTTGCTCCAAATTTCCCTGGTTGGCAAGATGCCAGAGTGCTGCAGCAATAGCACACTGGCAGCGGTGAAAAGAATTAACTGCTGGCTGGGCATGGTGGTGCACACCTATAATCCCAGCACTTTGGGAGGCTGAGGCAAGCAAATCACGTGAGATCAGGAGTTCGAGACCAGCCTGGGCAACATAGTGAAACTCCCTCTCTACTAAAATTACAAAAATTAGCTGGGCGTGGTAGTGGGCACCTGCAATCCCAGCTACTAGAGAGATTAAGAGAGGAAAATCGCTTGAACCCAGGAGGTGGAGGTTGCAGTAAGCCGAGATCGTGCCATCACACTCCAGCCTGGGCGACAAGAGTGAAACTCCGTCTCAAACAAAACAAGAATTGACTGCTTTTGGACACTACAATATTAATCCTCTACTTAAGGAAAATTACTGGTTTCCTGTCCAGTCTTTATTTTAAAGGCAAAAGCAGTGAAAGTAGGGAAAGGGTAATATGAATAAGCATTGTAGAAGATCCATTCAGGGATGAGGGATTAGGTACAGTACTTACTCAGATAAACTGTGAAATGAAATTCCTAGAAATGCTCTAGTACCCCTCTTCAAGTTGTTTTTCTCCATTACTAGACAACTTTTCTACAGATATTCTCACTAATTACCCAAACTGCAATTTATTTAATGAAATTCTAGCACAAAAATTTAGTTTGGGCTGGGCGCAGTGACTCACTTCTATAATCCCAGCACTTTGGAAGGCCAAGGCAGGCGGATCACCTGAGGTTGGGAGTTCAAGACCAGCCTGACCAACATGGCGCTGAGACTGCGCCATTGCACTCCAGCCTGGGCAACAAGAGTGAAACTGTCTCCAAAAAAAAAAAAGGTAATTTGAATTAAGTCATTATGACAAGTTTTTTAGACTAAGGATATTAACTAGTCCAAGAAATCTCTCTAGTGGAATTAGATTACATCAAATTTAAAATCCTATAAAAAGCCAATGAGAGCCAGGTGTAGTGGCTCACACCTGTAATCCCAGCACTTTGGGAGGCTGAGGTGGGCGGATCACATTAGGCAAGGAGTTCGAAACCAGCCTGGGCAACATGGCGAAACCCCATCTCTACTAAAAATACAAAAATTAGCCGGGCATGGTCATACACGCCTGTAATTCCAGCTACTTGGAGGCTGAGACATGAGAATTGCTTGAACCTGGGAGGCAGAGGTTGCAGTGAGCCAAGATCTTGCCACTGCACTGCAGCCTGGGCGACACAGTAAGACTGTCTCAAAACAACAACAACAACAACAACAAAAAGCCAATGAGAATAGTTAGGGTATCTCAAAATTATCTGCATAACAGTTGTTACAGTAAAATACATACTCAAGTTCATCTCTGTATTGTCACATACTGGTTAGTTTTACAAAATGATTAAGGAGAAAAAAAATAATCAGTTTAATTGCAACAGTTGAAGAGCAAGAGATACTGCCTTGGGGGAAAAAATCTTCTAATCAGATTTTCATTCACAGTACACAATTGCCTTATTTATAGTATTATTATGTTTTAGGACAGGAACTGATATCTTTCACAAAATCATAACATCTTTACTGACTAACTTTCATTGTCTAGAAACAGAGCTGTTCTATTTATTTATTTATTTGTTTGTTTGTTTGTTTGAGACAGAATCTTGCTCTGCTGCCCAGGCTGGAGTGCAGTGGCATGGTCTCGGCTCACTGAAACCTCCATCTCCCGGATTCAAGTGATTCTCCTGCCTCAGCCTCTTGTGTAGCTGGGATTACAGGCACCTGCCACCATGGCCGGCTGATTTTTTTTTTTTTTTTTTTAGAGACAGAGTCTTACTCTGTCAGCGGGACTGGAGTGCAGTGGCGCTATCTCAGCTCACTGCAACCTCCTTCTCCCGGGTTTAAGCAATTCTCCTACCTCAGCCTCCCAAGTAGCTGGGACTACAGGCGCACACTGCCATGTCCAGCTAATTTTTTGTATTTTAGTAGAGACAGGGTTTCATCGTGTTGCACAGGCTGGTCTCGAACTCCTGAGCCCAGGCAATCTGCCCGCCTCGGCCTCCCAAAGTGCTAGGATTACTGGTGTGAGCCACCGCACCCAGCGTAGAGCCATTCTAATAATCCACAGACGCCTAAAATATTTCCACAAATTAGGCCAGGCACAGTGGCTCATGCCTGTAATCCTAGCTGTTTCACAGGTCCAAGACAGGAAGATCGCTTAAGCTAAGAAGATGGAGGCTGCAGTGAGCTATGATCAGGCCACTGCGCCGCAGCCTGGGCAACAGAGTGAGACTCCATTTCTAAAAAAAAGAGAAAGTAAGCAAATTGATCCATTATATCTCATAAAGACTTACAAAGAAAGAAGAAAATATTATTTTTGTATCAGATAAAGACAAACAAGAACATCTGTGGCATATAAAACAGCTATACTATATCGTCAAGATCATAAACCTTAAAGGATGTAAATAGATTCGAATAAATAGAATATATCCATATTTAAATATTTTTAAAATCATTAGTTTTCTACCCAGACCCCAAGGAATGTTAATGCCCCTTTCTCCACACTCCTCACTTGTTTCCTCTGGGTTTAACCGTCACACCTACATAGGATTCTATCTTGTTCCCTGATCTCTCCTGACATTGTTCCTCATTTCTAAAAGCCTATTGGTCATCTTTACTTAAATGTACTCCTGTCAGCTCAAATTCAACATTTCTAAAATCAAAGTAGTTCCCAAACCATGTCTCTTTTGAGTATTTCATATTTCTATCAATTGTAGCAATCACTGAACCTCAAAGAGACCTTTGACTCTTTCTATACTTTTTCTATAGTCTTCTATAGTCTTTCTATAGTCTTCTACACTCTTTCATGTCTTTTTTTTTTTTTTTTGAGCCCAGGTTAGAGTGCAGTGGCGTGATCTCGGCTCACTGCAACCTCCACCTTCTAGGTTCGAGCGATTCTCGTGCCTCAGCCTCCTAAGTAGCTGGGATTACAGGGGCGTGACACTATGCCTGGCTAATTTTTTTTTTTTTAATTTTTAGTAGAGACAGGGTTTCACTATGTTGTCCAGGATGGTCTTGAATCCCTGACCTCAGGTGATCCACCCACCTTGGCCTTCCAAAGTGCTGGGACTACAGGCATGAGCCACTGCACCCGGCCTCATGTCCTTTTTTTTTTTTTTTTTACAATATAGCATGTTCTGACTTTACTTTCCATTCACATTGCTGCATTTTAGCAAGGGCCCTCAAACATTTCCCAAAATTCCTGAATTGAACTCCTAACAGACCTATTTTTACTCTTAGTCCTCCAATCTATTCCGCACAATAGGGGTAGATTAAAATTTACAACATTTCTTTACACTGAATTCAAAACCTTCACTGACTTTCCACCTCTTACAAAATCAAGTTTTTGACTCCTTAGCCTAAAAGACTTTAAAATCTACCTCCAATTTACTGTTCTAATATACCTCTTTCCAATTCTGCTCAGAAAACTCTACAGGCAAATGTCTTTGCTCTTTGTCCTTTCCACTTTGCCCTTTATCCTTTGTCCCTCTCTAGTCTCTTTTGAGTTTATGTTGTTCCTCTAACCTAGAACACAACAGCTTCTCCCTCTTATCTAAACCCTCCACATCCTTCAAAGCCAAATTCATGTCCCAGTTCCTCAGGAAAACTTTCCCTACCAGGGAAAGGACTTTGTGTTGATTCCCTGGCATTTATTATGAGCCACTTTTTATTCAGTATTATTTTTTATATACTCTCCTTTCTGATTAAATTATAGAAGTCTTTAAGGGCAGGAACTATCTTTAACCTCCTTATATTCTCAGTACCTAGCACCATGCCTTGCACAAAGCAGAAATTTTTATTATTATACTTGAATATTTCTGAATAATTATTAAACAATATTGGCATAGCTTTTGTTACATACCCCAAAACACATATATCTTGTATCACTATAAAATTACAAAAGGTAGACAAGATAGCGTATTACACTTGTTTCTACATAATATGAATCAGTACATGTGTGAACTAAAATATTTTTATGCAATTTTTTATTCCATAACAATTTTTCTTTTGACTTAGATGATTAAGGCAAAAGAAGCAAACCTTTAGAAACTTTATTTCTCTCATCGCAATTTTGTTGACAGATTGTTCTGGTCTCTCATAAAATATCTTAATGGCCACTATCTGCCCAGTATTCTTATGTTTACATTTCATGACTGTTCCGTAACTTCCCTCTCCCACTTTTCCAAGGGTTTCATACATCTCCATTTTCAAGCTGGGCTTTTACTACTTTATAGAAATAAAGAAAGAAAATGGAAAATGTTAAACGTTTATACTTTTATTTATTCAAACTAGATAATGTATATGCACAATAAACTCATAGTTTAAAATATAGAGACATTAAAAAAAAAAAAGGAATCTTTTCCACTGAGCCTTTTTGTCTTTGGGAACCAAAGACTGCTTGAGTAAAGTGTCCTTCTGAGGCTCCAACTCTCACCAGAACTTACGGGTACTCCTGCAGTTTCGGTCATGCCCATCAACACTGAGATTACTTCACTATAAGTCACCATCCATCAAGCATGGAGTCCCCACACTTCCTGTCATGTTCCTGTCAAATAATAGGTTCCCGCACTACTGCAGTCGCCCGCTTATCAGGCCCAAGGTCCTAAAAAAAGCCTGATCCCGCCCGCAACTCAAACCAGACGTCTTAGGATGCCGGACCGGCGTCACGCCCCACGTCCCGCTGTCGACTTTATCCAAAGAGCCGCCGCCGCCTCAGCCCATTCTGTGGTCCCGCTGGCCTGGCTCTGCGTAGTTCCAGTGGGGCTACGGAACACTGATACTACTTCGTTGCTTAGCCCCGCAAAGATCAGGCCACTCGCTACCATGGAAACGCCAGCAGAGTTGCTGCATTCTAGCCCTCGTGCGCAAGACCGGAACATGGGCAGGGTCCTGACCCGGAAGGGGAAGTGAGAAGAAACGGAAACCTGCTCTGGGTAGGCAGAGGGTGGAAGAGTGCTGCGCTTGGGAATGGGGGCGGGGAGTACAGGTCGCTGTCACAGCTGAGCCTCCTCACAACGTTGCTTTTGAATGGGGATAGGGAGGGTCTGCCTTTTTTTGTTGTTTGCTTTTTTGAGAGAGTTGTGCAGTGGCGCCGATCTCGGCTCACTGCAACCTCCTTCTCCTGGGTTCAAGTGACTTTCCTGCCTTATCCTCCCGAGAAGCTGTGATTACAGGCGTGCGCCACCACGCCCGGCTTTGTATATTTAGTAGAGACCGGGTTTCTACTATGTTGGCCAGGCTGGTCTCGAATTCCTGACCTCAGGTGATCCGCCTGCCTCAGGCTTCCAAAGTGCTGGGATTACACGCGTAAGCCACCGCGCCCGGTCAAGATGGTTCTTAAAAACTTTTCGAACACCTGCCATATGCCTTTAAATTTTTTCCAACTGCTAGTAATGTTTTTTAAAGGAAAAAACCTCCCTCACCACGTGTCAAACTCTAGGAAAGCAAGTAATTCGAAGTGTTCCACCATATACGAAATGATGTACAAGAGCGCAGAAATAAAGAGGCCAGTGTTTAACTGCTTAAGTAGACATAGAGTTCAGCTGGAGTGACAGTCCCTAATGAATAACCACCGTATCACTAGAGCAAGTGCCTAGGGAGTGCTTTCTTTATTGAATAGGGCTTTCTTTGCTTTTTTTCTATAAAATGAGTTAAATGTAAAAAGCGAAATCTCGCCATGCTTCCACTAAATAAGAGGAAAGGCATTACTTAATAAATTCTAGTCCGGTGGGTCCCGCCCCAGCATGCATATTTAAATCACACCTGGAGAGCTTTTAGAAAGCAACTCCCAACCCCCACATCCACACCCCCGCCCCAACACCAGAGAGCCTGATTTAATTGAGATAGGGTAAATAAATTAGTATGTTTGAAGCTTCTCAAGTTTTCTATGCTGCTACGGTTTATATTGAGAGAGGAGAAGTGGTCATCGTTTTCACTGATCACCTAAAATATTCAGAATTATCTTATTTGAAAGTTATTCGGCAGGACGCGGTGGCTCACGCCTGTAATTGAACACTGTGGGAGGCCGAGGCGGGCGGATCACGAGGTCAAGAGATGGAGACCATCCTCGCTAACACGGTGAAACCCTGTCTCTACTAAAAAATACAAAAAATTAGCCGGGCGTGGTGGCGGGCGCCTGTAGTCCCAGCTACTCAGAAGGCTGAGGCAGGAGAATGGTGTGAATCCGGGAGGCGGAGCTTGCAGTGAGCCGAGATCGCCCCACTGCACTCCAGCCTGGGTGACAGTGAGACTCCGTCTCAAAAAAAAAAAAAAAAAAAAGAGAAAGTTATTCAACCACAATATAAAACACCTTCTATAAATAAGAATGTCATAGTAAATCTTATAGTGGGTTCAAACTTCGTGTAAGCATATTATTTGCTGTGGGCAAAATATTTGCAAGGAGGCTGCGCACAGTGGCTCACACCTGTAATCCGAGGGAAGCCAAGGTGGGCAAATCACTTGAGCCCAGGAGTTCCAGACCAGCCTGAGCAACAGGGCAAAACCCCGTCTCTACAAAAAATTAGCCAGGCATGGTGGTGCACACCTGTGGTCCCAGATACTTGGGCAACTGAAGGAGAATTGCTTGAGCCTGGAAGGTCAAGGCTGCAGTGAGCCCTCTTCACACCGCTGCACTCCATCCCAGGTGACAGAGCAAGACTCTGTCTCAAAAAATAAAAAAACATTGCCCAGGACAAAGATGAACCAAACTCAGTCCCTGCCCTCAATGAACTCATAATCCAGAGCTACAGAATTGATAACAGCATACAATTAATAGCTTTAAAATTATTCCTTCTACAAGTAGGTTATGGCAGGCCTGGTTAACCAGAACAGCCAGTGATTCTTGCTAATACACAGCTGTAAGACTTTATGATGCACATTCACTGAATTAGTTAAAAGTGTTAATTCATTTTGGAAAATTTAAACTGTTTCCGAAACAATTATAAATCCCTGTAGTCACGGAATTCCTAACCTCCATTGCCTCCAGTTCCCATCTTTAGGACTTTGTTGGTGCGTCAGGAGGACTCAGCACTTTTGTATCCATTCTTCAGCTCAACAAGGAAAGGGAGGTAGGAGAAAGACCTCAGCATTGCCCTAATCTTGCCCATAGTTCCATGGAACCAGAAAGGGTTAACTTTTCCCACTTTCCTTGTACCTCCCTTTTTTCAAACCCTGAATTCTGTCTCTGCTTTCAGTGACTGCCTAGACTGATAAATTATAAGGGTTTTTTGGTTGTTGCAGGGTTTGAGACAGGGTCTCAGTGGCATGATGATGGCTGACTGCAGCTCAAGCGATTCTTCTGCCTCAGCCTCCTGAGTTGCTGGGGCTACTCGTGTGCACAGAGACAGGATCTCCTATGTTGCCCAGGCTGGTCTTCAACTCCTGGCCTCCCAAAGTGTTAGGATTACAGGCATGAGCTAATGCCCCAGCTCATGAGGGATATTTTTAAGATATAGTTTCTATTTACCATTTTTCTCCATGTAACCCTGCCTGTGTGTCTTCCTCCTTTGCTATTGGAAGGGTTAGGACTGCAATGGCAGAAAAGCAAAAACATTAAGAATATTCAGCTTTTAACTTAGAAAACACATTGTGAATGTCTAACAGGACCTATCAAGAGTTAGGCCTGGCTAACTTGATCACTAAGGCAGTCACTGGAAGCTGAGAGAATTCAGGGTTTGAAGAAAGAGGTACAAGGAAAGTCGGAAAAGTTAACTCTGCTTCCATAGAACTAGGGGCAAGGTTGAGGCAATGCTAAGGTCCTCATTCCACCCTCCCTTTACCTGTTGAACTGAACAATTCCCCAAATGGATACAAAAGTACTCAGAGTCCTTAGTATAACAAAGTCCTGAAAGTAGGAATTAGCAGCAATACAGGGAAAGACAGTAACTACAAAAAATATTCAAGGTCTGTGGGAGGTCAACACCTCTGAACCCCCTGGTGGTGGGGGGGCACTTCTCGCCCATTTGCACCTTTCTTGCTAGTGTAAAAAACCTGAAGTTGTCTCAGGCTGGATAGATAACCCTCACTCAGGTCTGCTGGAGCGCTCCCCCAGATATGAATCATATTTGTAGGTTTCTTTGACAACCAACCACTCATTGATATGCTTGGAAGACTGCACCCCCACATTCTTAAAAATACAATGGTACTCCCCCCCCCATAGGCAAGTCCCCGGACTCTGACACATATCTTCAATTGAAAGCAGACCCAGAAAGGAAAAACTGCATAATACACCATCCTTTAATGTTTGCCCAGAATTTCCAATACTAGAAACCCCACTGCAAAGCAGAAAGACTATTTGGTAGCTTCAAGGAACCATTTCAGGAGATTGTTGTGTGGCCCTCAGTATTCAATGCTGCCTTAGAAGATCTTGCGATCCTCTCTCTTCTTGCCCCAAGTACCAGAGTTCATAAGCCACTGAACCAACCAGAGGGGAGTTATTTTTGGCACGGGTTAAAGAAAACAAAACAAGCTGTTGATCCTCCCACGACCTCTTGGGTAATGTCTCTATACCTGTGATAAACCGAAAACAACTAATAAAGGTGTATCCAGCCCTCACCCTCTTAGACCCGCTTCACAGACCTGGCCGAAACTCACATCCAGGCGAGGCTCTCACGTGACCCGTTCTAAACGCGTCACAGGGACACGTGGTTCTAGATACTTCTCCCCCTCCCCCTCAGGGGTGGATTGTTGACAAGGCCGCGGGCAGTCACGTGATCTTACATCATCCCACCTCCTTTCCCTGAAATCTCTGGCCCGGATACGTCCCTCTTTCTCCACCCCGCCGAGCCTAAACTAGAGACGGGGAGGCAGACAGAATAGTGTGTCGGTTTCGTGGTCTCTGAATCCACAACCTCTAGTCTGAACACAGAGAACACAAATTTGTCGATCACTTCAGGAAGCCCAGGAAGAACCACGCCCCGCTGAAGGGCTCAGGGAACGCGCGCTCCCCCGTCCCGCCCCCTCCTCCCCCAGCACTCACTCTGTGGTAGCGGCGGAGGGCGGAGGGATCCGGAGGCGGCGGAGGGAGACGTCATTGCAGGGTTGTTTGTCAGTCTCGGCGGCGGCGGCGGCGGCGGCGGCGGCGGCAGCGGCGATCCACAGTGATTCGGCCGCCGCGCCGGGGGGTGGGGGGGCTGCGCGGGACTCTTTTCTTTCAGACTGACCGCGGGGCAGCTGCGGAGCATGTCGACCCCGGCCCGGAGGAGGCTTATGCGGGATTTCAAGCGGTAAGGGCCTTCAGCTTCGCATAGATGACGGCCCCTCAAAGCTGCGGGGCTGCAGGGCGTGGATCCCGGACACCTTCCCCTTGTGACCCTCAGAGGGCCGGCTGTGGGCCCAGGGGGACTGGCGGAAGCCGGGTCCTACCTCGGCCCCTACTCTCCTTATCCTTGCCGCTCGCTCTGGCGCCCGAAGAAATTTCGATACTGCTTCCCCTCCCCCCAAAAAGTAAAACGATGTCGATCGACTGGTCTAGGGTTCCCCGCTGCCCATTTCGGCCAGCTGCCCGGGGTCTCGTCCAGGGGATCAGACATCATCCTCCCGCCCCTGCACCCTGCGGAGACCCTTTCTTGTCCCCTCAAAGTGAGCTCCCGCGGGAGCTTGTTCTTCTCCGGCAGCACCAGTCAGCTTTGTTTCACGACCCCTCAGTCTTCTCCGAGGAGCCGGGTTGGGGTGAACCTCCCCAGCCCCCCACCCCCGCCAGTCCTTTCCATTTCTGCCGTGAGGGTGGGGTCCAGTGCGTGAGGCTCGGAGGTTAACCCATCCCCCGAAACCCGACTCTGTCCCCGCCCGCCTGAAAAGACCTTGGGAACTGACTTAGAGATCTGGGACCTTAGAGCTGGCCACCCCGGCTGCCAGTGCCTTCTGGAACTCAGATCTGGCTGGTGAAGAAAGCCCTATCTATAGCCTCCCGAGTCTGGAAAAATGCCTTCCCTTAGACTGGCGCTAATTTGATACTCCCTGGGCCTCCTTTGGTAAATAAAATAGGGTTTTGTTAGGAGGTATTGGGGTTGTGAGGAAGAAAATGATTATTCCGTTAGTTTACCTTTTATTGGATACTTAGAGACGTAGAAAAAACAAAATAACGTAGAAAAAACAAAATAAGTGAGAAAACATTTTGATATTCTGCACATTTTTCTTAAATTTTTTTCTGGGGACACCTACCCTAATTGAACAAAATAGCATAAAAACATAGATTTGTCGCTCAGGAAGTCACCTCTCAGCTATTATAAAGCCTATGTGAGGCATTTGGATTTGGCCAACTTATTTAATTCATTCGTAGCTTCTCTTAGCCATTTAAAGGTAGGCGTCAAGCAGTGCAGTTCTTCTAAGGCTTCTGTTTGTGGTGGCCTAATTTGCTTGAGATTGACTAAAAACCATTTTTTTTATGTGGACTAGTTGCAAATTATGATGCCCCATGAAAACAACTCCGTATGTATTTGTGAGTGTGTATAATGTAGCATTTTTAATTGAGGTTACAGTCTCTGAAAGGAGATGCCCTTTTTGGTGCAAAAGTCATTTTTCTAAAGCTTGAAATCAGTGTATCTGATTAGCACTCATGACTAAAATTCAGATAGTAAACTAGTTCATGTCATTGTCGCCCTGGCTCCTTACTGTAATGCTCTGCTTAATTCTGAGTTGAATACATGGCACCTTTTGTAGTTTTCCAGAGATCTATAGGTTACACGAATTTGACTATGACGAATGTGGGAAAGCCTTGTATTGAGTCTCCTGATTTGAGAGGTAGATTTGATGTTAGTGCAGAGCCTTTAAAATAGGGACTGGCGGAAAACCTACTGATTACTTTTTAAAGCCATTGCTGTTTGAAGCAAAAGGGATAGAGTAAATCTGCTGCCTAATACTAGTTTCCTAGTTAAATTTAATGTGTTTTCAGTCGTTTCGTGTTTACACTGAGGTTTGCTTTTTTTTTTTTTTCTTGTAGCCATTTTGCAGAAGTAGCCGTGGTTAGGATACACAGTCTTTGCATGTTTAGAGCAGCAAAATCAATGGTTCTGTAAAAATATTACTTGCTTTTGAGGTTTTAAACTTTTTTTGGTATAAGAGGACAGTCTATATACATCAATTCTTGAAGAGATAATCTTGATAATATTGAAAGAGGGATGATTCTCAAGCCCTTCGGATTTTTAGGTAATTTGGAGAGGTATTTAATAAGTATATATACCTGGTTAATATATCTAAGTCATATGGTTCATTTTAGTTCACAATAACAAGGAAATGGAGTTAGTCTGTGTCTCAAAATAGATGGTGTAGTGTCTGTAGGTGTTTATGTGGCCTCCTTAGTGGCCTTAATGTTCAACTTTTTAAATTACAACGCTGGATTTCTAGGTTACAAGAGGACCCACCTGTGGGTGTCAGTGGCGCACCATCTGAAAACAACATCATGCAGTGGAATGCAGTTATATTTGGGTGAGTTGAAAGGTTTAACAAATAATAGGTGTGTGCTGAATCTTTAAGAAAAGTGAACATATAACAACTGTCTAGGAAAAGAAACTGAGGTAGAATGAGAGATCTTAAGGACTAAAACTGCAAGATAAATTAGAAAAAAATTTTTTTCAATTAGAGTTTTGGCCCAGCACAGTAGCTCAACGCCTGGGAGGATCGCTGGAGCCCAGGAGTTCATCACCAGCCTGGGCGATATAGTGAGACAGTGAGACTCTGTCCCCTCTCCACCAAAAAAAGAGTTTTGGCCCAGTCTGGGCAACATAGTGAGAGACCTTGTCTCTACAAAAAGTATAAAACTAACTGGGCATGGTGGTGCCCAGCTACTTGGAAGGCCGAGGCAGGAGGATCACTTGAGCCCAGAAGTTTGAGACTGCAGTGTGCCACTGCACTCCAGCCTGGGCAGCCAGCTATCCAAAAAAAAAAAAGGAAAAAGTTTCAGCAGTTATACAAAGTTTATTTGCTCTTTGATGTTATTACATATGGTTTTATAATCACTTGGGGTTTTACTTTTAAGATACTACTCAAAACTAAATGGAATGGAATAATAAAGGAGAAACAATAAGTTACTTTGTATAAAACATATCATGCAAATGCTCTCATTCTGTTGGAGCTGTTAAAAGGTTTGGAACCAAAAATATTAAGAACTTCCACTGCTGCAAGAATTTAAGTGAAAATGATTCACAGCCCAGTGTAAAATAACAGAATGCAGCCATTTGAGAAGCAGCTGTAAATTTTACCTACTATAATTTCCTTATGCTTTTTTTTGTTTTTTCTAGACTTGATCTATTTTTTTCTTTCATTCCTTTGATACTAGAGTTTTGCATTAAAAAGTAAAAGGAATATGTTGATAAACAGAATTCTGACACTACAGAATCAGCTACAAGAGTCTACATTTAAAGACTAGTGGAAAATGAGTGAAGTTCATCCTCATAAAGTACTTCTGAATCTGAGTTGAATACATGGCACCTTCAGGATATTATCCTGCTGCTTTGAGATCCTGAATATGCCTTGCAAGTAATAATTAAGCTTTATGCTGCTGCTTAGGAAAGATGAAATTGGGATGTGGGGGCAAGGATCTGAGCAAACAAATCTGGCTCTTTGGTGACATCAACTATGCTTAGCCTATTTGAACAAAAGTTGTGGCTCCATTGGAAAGCAGGACACTTGGGTTTAGCATCATAACTAGAGTATTGCTTTACTTCTTATTGCTGTAAAATGAAAAGATGACTTTCCCTCTTAAGAATATACATATGGGCCAGGTGCAGTGGCTCATGCCTGTAATCCCAGCACTTTGGGAGGCTGCGACGGGTGGATCACCTGAGGTCAGGAGTTCAAAACCAGCCTGGCCAAGATGGTGAAACCCCATCTCTACTAAAAATACAAAAATTAGCCGGGCATCTGTAATCCCACCTACTCGGGAGGTTGAGGCAGGAGAATTGCTTGAACCTAGGAGAAGGAGGTTGCAGTGAG